AAAAAATCATCACTACATGCTGCCTTGCGAAAAGGAACTAGCAAAATGTGTCCGGGAGGAATCGACGTTTACATGTGAGCGAAACCTACCCGTGTACAGTATTAGAGCAGACGCACCGTGCGAGGTGCAAGTGTTTACAAATTTGCCAAGGCAACTCCGAAATTGTGAACGAAAACGCGTGTTAGCGAACACCACGCTGTGGATAACATTAACCGAACCGCAAACGTGGCTATACACAACGCCAAAAGCACAAAAAATAAATATAAAATGCAGCAATCAAGCGGAACAGGGAATTGTAACACGAGGGACCGGGGAAATAACGTTGGAAGGAAATTGTAAACTAATGACGTCCGATGTCACGCTAACGACGCAACAACAAATCTACGCCGCGAGTATACAGACGCACTTACCCAAGGAACACACCAAAGTCAACAGAAAGTCAAAATGACTTTATTTTGATTCAATATGGTCACGGATTTTCCGTGTGATGAAAAATTGACGTCAATTGACGTATGCTGTTCAGTAACGAAAAAATGACTTTACGTTAGTCTCACAAAATTTATGCGTAAAAATGCTCTGATATCGTTAAAAAGTTTTCATAATTATTATTTTATATACGTATATATATATATGTATATAATCATATATTTTTCAGTAAGAGTTCTCTGTTTATAATATATCGTGTTATAGTATGTGTTAATTAATTTATAGACATGTGAGCAATGTAACAAGGAAAACTATATATTATACAGTGCAAAATTATGTTATACCGCGTCGCATTTTGCCGCGCGGCAAGCATTTTCCGCTTCCGCGTCCAGTGTGCAGCCGAAACGCGCCATATTCTTGTTGTAAAAAGTTGATGGGCCAAATTGTGGACATTATTCGAGATGGATATCGCAAAACCAGTAAGTATTATTAATGAATATACGAGTAATTTTGTTTATATTGTGAGCATAAGGATAAGTGATGCATCATGCATATCATGTAACGAAATATACTTTACATAACCTAACCTAACCTTATCGATTTGTCTGTCTACATCATGAATAAATTGTATTTTACTCTTATGGCTCCTGCACACTAGATACGGAAACGCTAACCGCGCGGCAAATAAGAATTAAGACTGCACATACGACACGCGGTAGTCAATGGACATGATATATCATCTTTCTTTAGATGTCAGGTGTATTGGTTACCGCGTCGTATTTTGCAAGTGTTTGCGTGTCCAGTGTGTCATTAAAATAACTGTAATAAAAACATAATAATAAATCATAAGAAATCAAAATCATAAATAGAAGAACACTTTGATATAATTAGAAATACTGATTGT